ATTAGGGAAATTAGCTAGAGTTTGGAGGAAGAAATACACTTGAGTGAAAAACTTTTTTAAAAAACTTCCTGCTTGCTGTGTTCTGTCCGTTCAAATCTCGCCGGAGTCTCGTGTGGTGGAAGAGCTTGTTCTGCTCGTTGCTGTCCGGATCGCTGCACCGAACAAGGTAAACAACCAGTAACTCTTTTGTTCATCTCGAGTTTGAACGTGTTGAATTGTGTTTTGTTCTTCGTCGATTCAAAAGGCATCTTGTTGATATGTTCAAGCTGAGTTTTTCTTTTAATCTTAACTTTTCTAAATGGGTGACGTGCGTTTCGTTTTCAGGTCGTTTTAACGATTGTTAGAGCATGTTTTCTCTGTTTCTACCCTTCCTGAACCCATGGTTATTGTATTTGTTCTAAGTTTAGTTTGTTTACTGGTCAGTCATTGTTCTGTGCTCATTTGTATTTGGAACAATATTTGTGCTTCTGTCATTGTGTTTGGAGAATATAAGATGCATTATGCAATCGAGTATCTAGTTACCAAAAAATGTAAATAGTATTTTGCAATGGTGTTTTTTCAAATAGTATGCCTGCAAATTTGTTTATATCTAGGTTTTAGAGGGAATTTTATTTTGCTCGTCCCCTTTGTTCGTTCGCCACTTGATGTTTTCGGTTACCCAGATCGCAACTGAGAATATATTTGTCTCATTTTATCTCTGAAACATGGCCTAATTTATTTTGGTGTTATTTAATGGTCGTCTTGATAAGTGTTAAAGCATGTTACCCCTCTTTCTTTCCCCTCTCATGAAGTTGTAAATGTCGAAGTCATTTCGTACTCATATTTGCAAATCATGTGACATTCCTGTTATATGTCATTAGTTTCAGTCTTGTTATTTTGTTCATGCATAGAGTGTCTAGTCTCTTGGGTCTGCAATATGTTTTGAGTCTACGGCTATTGTCCATTTAAAAATTTCCAATTAAGTTCAAACCGTATCTAGTATGTTAACTGTCCTGCTTCGTTTGTACAAATCAATTAACTGTTCTTAACTATATTCCTTGTCTTAAAATGCATGTATTAATGGGATTATTCCTTACTGACCCCCTTTTTTTTTTTTCTTCCTAAAATGCATTGATCATCTTTAGTAGTGATATGTGGTTGACGTGTTTATCACAATTGTTACATTTGGGGATAGGTTCACATTTAGAATAGTCTTCCCTTAGAATTTTAGTCTTTTGGTTATTGGTGTTATGCCTACTGTCCCCCTTAATTTTTATTATTTTTATTATTATCTTAGTTCTTGCTTCTGGAAAGGGAATTTGAGTTCATCAATTACAAGGTCACAATGTCTTCTGTATATGTTGAAACGTGATAAAACATGTTAATTGTTTTACCTTTAAACTTGCTATTTTGCTGAAATTTATTTAAATTTTGAGTGTAACGCTAGTCAGCTCGTAGTCATCTTTTGTCAATCCTACGCTAACTCTTATTCATTCGTCTTTTTTTTTGCATGTGAAATTCGCCCGAGTTCACTACGAACTCATCTTTTCCTTTGCATTTTGAGAGAGCTACAAAGACTCAAACCTTTTCCTTTTGAGTCGATCGGCCTATTTTAAATCGACGTACAGGTCCCGGAGTTGAAAGGACACGCAACAATTTGGAGAATTAAAAATTGGGCCAATTTTAGTTTTAGAAAATTGTATTTTGTTATTTTTGGGCCTAAGCCTTTGTTGCTTTATTATTATCTTATTAGTATTTAGGACAGGTGGAAGAAGGGCCTAAGGCCCAAAGAAATAACTTTTATGTTAGTTTAGGACAGGTACAGATAACTCAAATAGGCCGAAGGCCCAAAACGAAAATGGGCCCAAATACCGGCCTAGGCGGACAGGAAAACCGGATTTGGGCCCAAGTTCCTTTCTCTCTTTGTTTTATTATATTTGTTTACTCGTCATTATTTGCTATTAATCTTAAGGTTTTAAAAGAATTCAAATCCCCAAAAGACACCCATTTTTTTAATTAATTACTTAACTAAATTGTTCAATCTCTTAACTTAACGGTAAAAAATAAATAAATAAATTCACAAAATATTTCACTTAGATAATATTTCAATATTTCTCCTTTTCCCTTTAAAAATAGTTCTAACTATAAACTAGTTCAACTTTTGCAAAGTTAAGTTAAGTCGAATAAAATTTAGCCAAATAGTTAATCGTCGGATAACCATTAATGGACATTCTAGGTGCTTTTAAAACCTTCCTAGAGTGTTAATATGAACCTCGAACCCCTTTACAAGTTTTCACTAGATTCCTGTTTTAGTATGAATAGTAAATAAGCAATTCTTGAATCGTGTTTTGCATGCATTGATAATTCTTTCGTTCAAAAGTCTTTTTAACGAGTGCACCTAAATAAAACAGCCTTGTTGCTACTTGCCGGATCAAGGAGGTAATCAACAAGAAAAGAATTATCAACATAGATTTAGTGTGATACTATCTAATAGGTTAGTGTCGATTGGTGCGAAGTAATAACTAAGCCAAACATCGATTATGATGTCTAATATGAGGTAAAGGTAAGGGTTAGTAAATTATACACACGTAGCCGGATCAAGGTGCGGGGTGAAATTCTCTAGATGCCGGATCAAGGATTTAGAGATACCTAACTTATCACTTTGCATGTAATACACTAGGAAAGGATTGCGATTACTAGAATTACTGCGTTATGAGCTTGTGGTGAACACGTATACCCTAGTTAATTTTCTCATCTTGATAACAACCGAAATTGACTTTTGTTTATTGATTACTTACTGAACTCTTACAATTTGTTTCAACTTAGTTCAAAGCTATCTTTTTATTGTTTTTATTTCAATTTAAATCCCACCATTTTTTATATAACGACTATCGAGTTAAATATTTGCTATTGACAATATTCCTCCATATTCTCTGTGGGATCGACCCCGACTCATAGTTGGGTAAATATATTGCATACGATCGTTTATATTTCTTTTCAAAAGGTATATTTGAACGTTTTAAGGATAATTTTGAATTTGTTTTCCTTACTTTATGTATGAAAGTCATTTTTACTTAAATTATAAGAAATGACTTCCATACATAAAGTAAGGAAAAATTCCCATATATTCATAAACGTAACTGACAAACATGATATTTCTTGAACATAGATGGTATGTTGGCTGATTTACTTTGGGATTTTCCTGATATATATGTAGCTTTACATTGCTCTTGATTTAGATAAACCTGCAGAGAGACTAGAATAGTGAATCCTAGATAATTACAAGAAATTAAATAGCCCAAATAATATAGTGAATCCTAGATAAAATATAATTGCCATTTGTGCCCATGAAGTGGGGTTCCATCCATTTTTTTATTTTTTTATTTTTTGCTTAGAGCCATCCAGCCATGTTAGCAGCAAGAAGCATCTTGCTTTGTGAACATTATTGGACCGCTCATTAACACTATATTTCTAACAAGAACCTTATGTCATACTCATTAATGGGACCTAATATTTTGGACATAATCCTCAAAAATTCAGGTGTGTTGTGATGTTGCATTCCACTTTGAAGCGTGTTAATTGTTCATGAGGAATATTCATGTTCTAAAACTAATTAGAAACATTTTATTAGTTTTACCCAAATGTACATTTTCTTTGAATTGTTTTTACTCTTTTTAATACCGTATCTCATATTCTCTTTGTTTCAATTTGTTTGTTTGATTTTGACTTAATAAAGAGTTCAAAAAAGACTTTGTCATAAACAAAAAATATGTAAAACGTACTAAAAGTGTCTTTTAATTTGTGATCTTAAACATGCCATGTATAACGCATGTGGAAAGTTAAAACAAAAAAATTAACAATAAAAAAAAAGAGGTTTTTTTTAAAAAAAAGATATACAATTTTGTATATTACAAAAAATTAAACTAAGTACTACTCCCCCGTCTCATATTAGTTGATCATCTTACTAAAAATAGTTGTTTCATATTAGTTGTCCATCTTACTAAATCAAGAAAGCATTAATCAAAATTTTCATAAATTACTCTTTGTAAATTAATTCTTTTTGAAAGTGTTCACATTTGTTTGTAAATTCCGCAAGAAGTTTCTAAGGGGTGGATTGGTAAAATTATCTTCTTCTTTATGATTTCTTAATATGCGTGTAAAAAGGAAAATAATAAAATAATATGAATCGGAGAAAGTATTTAAAAACTATAAACATATAGCCTAAATTATTGACAATTTTAGATAATTTTCAAATACAATCATAAAAAGAAAAGTTAACTAATAAATTTAGAATACTACTATTATTATTTCACACAAACTAGAAGTCTAAAACTATAATAGTCTAATCTAGAAAGACTACCTGACTTGAAATACAAAAAAAGAAGCAAAAATCAAGGCTTGACTGAGGTTCAAACCCGGGTTCACGGGGTGAATTAGAACCCATTTGTCACTGATCCGCGCCATTCCATTGTAAATAGAGTGGGTTTATTTTATTGATATACACAACTTTACAACGAATTTATATACAATTTTTTTTAATGAAGTGGGTTCAAGAACCAATGTGGGTCCACCCTGCCTAACTCATAGGCCATAGGTAACCTTCTAGCTCGGAGCTCCGCCTCTGCTCAACTTTCCCCAGCCACTTGTAGCATAGTAGAAGAGCTAATTTTTGGTAGCCTGCACAACCCAAGCCCTAAGTCACACCCCAAAAAAAGAGAAAGAAAGATAAAGATACAATATTTCAACTGAGAAAACAAGAATTATTTGGCTGAGTAATAAGTTAATAAAAATACCCATGGCCATATAATGTTATGTACTTAGTATAATTTATTAATGGCCATTGTGTCACTTGTCAAAGTGACTTGTTATCCCCAACTTAGGTGCCAGCCACATGCATCTTCTTATTGATGAACAATGAGAAAGAGAATGAAAACGACACCAACAGGAAATCGATAAATTTTATGCCACCAACGTTACATGCAACGCTCCCCACTCTTTTGATGCTTTATATATTCTTCGCATTTTAACTCTAATTCTTCATCTATCAAAACCAAAGTCTTAAAAAAATACTTTGGCGGAATCCTCTCAACTCTCTGCAGTCATGGTAATTAAGTTATTGCTTAATTCCCTTGTCAGTAAAAAGAAAAAAAAAAGGCACTATAAATTAATTATGCTAATTAATTTGTTTTGTGTGTTATTAATTAGGAGGAGGGTAAAATCACAGAGTATAATTCTGTGAGTTCATTGAAACTTCAAGGAAAAGGTGGATTTAGAGCTACCTCCTTTATCTTTGGTAAGGAATTTTCCAGTTTTAGCTAGCTAGCTATATATGAACTTGTTCATTAATAAGTAATCATGTCTTTGGTGTTTCCAAAACAACGTAACCTCTCTATATCTCCACGAGGTAGTGGTAAGATTTGTGTATATTCTACCCTTCCTAGATCATACTAGTGAAATTTATATTGTTGTACTATTTGGTGTTTGAATATTTGTGAAATTTATTTGTAGGTTTGTTGGGATTGGAAAACATGGGTTTTGTGGCAGTGATGGTGAGTTTTGGTTTGTACTTCAGTTTTGTGATGGGTTTTGATCTGAGTGGATCAGCGAATACTCTCACTAACTTGATGGGCTCAACGTTCTTGCTATCCATTCTTGGTGGCTTCATTTCTGATACTTACATCAACAGATTCCACACTGTCCTCATTTTTGGACCCTTCGAAATTATAGTAAGTTCAATATTAGTAATTATGGCATGTAATTTGGTATGACAAAAGTTATTTTTACGAAGAAGTGATAATTTATGATGATGATGATTATTGTAGGCGTTCGCATTGATAACAATTCAAGCTCATTATAAGAGTTTACAGCCAGTATGTTTGGAACCAAATTGCATATCAGGAAAGAAAGCTATATTCTTCTATGCATCACTTTGTTGTTTTGCATTGGGTGGTGGTGGGGTTAAAGGAGCATTGCCAGCATTGGGTGCTGACCAATTTGATCAGAAGGATCCAAAGGAAGCTAAAGCTCTTGGAAGATATTTCAATTTGCTCATGTTTAGTTCAGTGATTGGTGGAGCATTTGGGGTCACATTTGTTGTCTATGTTAGTACAGTTAACGCTTGGTGGAAAGGTTTTCTCATAAGTTTGGTTTCTGTCACACTTGGTTTTATTTTCTTTGCCTTGGGAAAGCCTTTTTTTCGACTTCAACAACCTGCTGGCAGTCCACTTACTAGAATTTTCCAGGTTAATTAATTTATTTTTTGTGTTTATGCTATTTCAAATAAAATAACCACCATCACTATTGTGGCGCGTATGATCTAAATCACTTCACTCTTAATCAAAGATCGAATTTCAAGCCTAATGGTATAATTTTGAATTTTTCAGGTTATTGTTGTGGCAATAAATAATGGAAAGCTGCAATTACCAGAAAACAGTGAGGAGCTGTATGAGATTAGTGAGAAAGAATCAGACTCATCACAGCCAAAACTTGCACATACTAAACAATTCAGGTGATGTTATTCTTGCATACGTGTATTGATTCTTATTTGTCATAAATAAAAGCACTCTTGGTTTAAACTTTAACGAAATAAAAGCAAGAGGGAAGATCAAAATTAAAAGGGAACCCACGTATATACGTTGTCATTATAAATGATCAGGTCATCCAAAAAATATTTATAGATTTGTTAGACAAAGCTGCGTGCTACCTAGCTATTGGACGGACATGTAGTAACTTTTCCTATATTGTGAATCAGGTTTTTAGACAAAGCTGCAATCCATCCTAAAACAGGTGAGCCTACAGCATGGACAGTTTGCACTGTGACACAAGTTGAAGAAGTTAAAGTATTAACAAGAATGTTACCCATCATAGCTAGTACCATTATAATGAACACATGTATGGCCCAACTCCAAACATTCTCCGTAGCACAAGGCTATCGAATGAACCGTTTCATTAAGAAATTCGAGGTACCAGCACCCTCAGTGCCCGCGATCCCACTAATCATCATGTGTATTCTCATTCCAATTTATGACATGGTTTTCGTCCCCTTTGCTCGAAAAATCACCAAACACCCCTCAGGGATCACTCAACTCCAACGCGTTGGGGTCGGGCTAGTCCTCTCGATCGTGTCAATGGCTGTTGCTGCCCTAGTTGAGATCAAAAGAAAGCACCATTCATTGAAAGATCCATTGCACCCAATTCACCTAGCTTGGCTTGGATTTCAATATTCTATTTTTGGTATAGCGGACATGTTTACCTTAGTGGGCTTACTTGAATTTTTCTACAAAGAAGCACCTGTTGGAATGAGGTCCTTATCCACTTCATTTACATGGATTTCAATATCTTTGGGCTTTTTCTTGAGTAGTGTACTTGTTGACATTATCAATTCAGTGACAAAAAAAAGAGCACCAAGCAAAAAAGGATGGTTAGTGGGCTTAGACTTGGATCAGAATAATTTGCACCTCTTCTATTGGTTCTTGGCAATTCTTAGTGGGCTTAATTTTTTGAACTACCTTTATTGGGCTTCTTGGTATAAGTACAAAACAGATGAGAATGTGGATCCCAAGACCAAGCCCAATTTAGGTGATTCCATCGGCTTGTCCAAATCAGTGTCAGTGAGTGGAGTGCCATTGCTGAAGCCCAGTGAAAGTGCAGTAGCAATGCCTACCATTAATGAATCATCAAATGGGCCAACTGAGGAAGCTAATGAAAATTCAGCAGCAGCAAACAGAGGATAATAATGTGAAACATTTAATAGAATAAAAAAAATTAAATTGTATTTTCATGAGTCGCATGATAAAAATTAATAAAATTGGTTGCTTCTTGTCTGTGTTCAGATTAAAGAATGTTTCATATATCTACAAATTAAGTAATTAATTACTTGTTAATAGAATTATTATTATTATGTATCCTACTAACCAATTAACTACATCCAAGCTATATAAATATTTGATGGAAGTCCAATGTAAGAAGACAACAACACATCTTAGCAGACTTTAATTGTCCATTAAATGAGTGAAACAGATGTTTGACAGTGAAGCTCTGTCACAGTAGGCCCAAGAATATTTATATGGGCTGTAGACTGTAATATTAGGCCCAAGAATATTCATCTTTCCATCTCCCAGTGAAAATAAATAGTAAGAGAAAATTTCGTAAATAGTGAGATTTTGCTATATTTCAAAACGTAGCAACACTTTAATTTCAAAACATAGCAGGATACATGTATTCAGCGCATACAATATTATTTGAACTGTAATGAGAGTATCGGATACCGGTTAGAAAAAAGAACACATGAAACTATAAAGAGGTTGCTAACCTCTAACTTAATTAATAGCTAGAGAATTGTCAGAACATAAAATTGTATAATGTAAATTATAATATACCAGTAATTTTTTCTTTAAGTTCCCTATAATTTAAATCTTTTTTAGTGATATACCTTATTTTTTAAATGACAATTATTTTAATAAGTCCAACAAGTGAAATGGTCCTTAAGTAGTGTCAAAGTAGCTTTAATTAAACTATAAACTAGCAAGTCCGAAAATTCAAACATAAAGTGATTAAGGTATTGGTACATGTGATGTCTGGGACCAAAACCTCATGTGTGTTCCCCACTACATTAACACTTCATGAGGTGAATTGAGTTTTTTTTTTCTTTTTAAAAAAATTAATTATATCTCAAATTTCACGTGATCAAACCATGACCACATTTAATGGTAACTGATTAAACTTAATCATTTTCATTTGTTGGTTTCATTGATCCATTTTCATGGTTGATTAGCTAATGCAACAGCTGTTGTTTCATAATTATATATTTTTGATTTTGAAATCTCAGCTGCCTAATAATTGGAAATGAATTAAGTACTATTTTGCAGCTAGCCATTATGATCTAGTGTAGCTCATAATAACGTGACATGACTAAAATTTTATATATATGCATATGGAGTTTCATTTTAAAAAAGATTCCCATTCCTAATTTTTCTCATTTAATTAATAGTATAAATTAAAACTCTCCACTTTAAATTAAATGCTGATTTAACACATTATAATCTGCAATTGTTATCACAAATCCAGAACTTGTAAGGTTAATTTTGTTAATTTCTCTAATTTAAATTCTCCAAACCACATACGAAAAATAGTAAGTAATTAATATTTGAATTTTTTTTGTGACTAGCTTGTCGATAGGTTAAAAAAATTAATTATCCAAGGAGAAAAAGAAAAACGTGGGAATTGAATTGATATGTTTAGATTCAAAGTGTCACAAGCATCATGCATGTATGTAGATTATTTTCATAAATATTAGTATTCCGCTTTATGCTGTCTGCTATTATTACAATTGTGAAAATATTGTTGACTTATTCATGAAACTCTCGTTCTTTGCCCCAAAAATAAATGATGCAGCAGTATATTATATTTGCCTCACTCATATCATCCTGCACAATTTATTACTGTATAAGAATGTACGTTTGATATAATATTTGTTAATTACAAAATATAATTTGACGATTTTACTACAATAACTTCAACCTAACTAGCACTGTCGTCGTCTGGGCAAATTTCTCTTAAATTAGCTAGGTCGCGTAAGGATTTCCGCCATTAGCGTGGTAATTAAGAAGCAGATTAATTAATTAAGGGGATAGAAATTGGAATAAAAGTGTTACACAGCTCAAAAGCTAGTGGGAATTATGAAAAGGAGAATATTTTGTATTATATGAATCATGAATTAAATAGTGGAAAAAGTCACCAAAAAGGAGTTTGTGATGAGTCCCCATAGTAGACCCCCTTATACCAAAAAGGAGTTTATGAGAAGAGAGATTTCATTTGTCGGCACGAGTACTCCAAAAATAATAACTCATCTTTAGCCTTTGAATATGACACATGCAAATAAGAAAGTCCTAGTGAGACTCGCATCATCCGCGAATACTAACTGAGTCACCTTGAAGGATTATTAATTTAATTTTTTTATAGTTTAAAAATATATTTGAATAATTGATAATTGATCAGATAAACATTGCCTCAAAGAAGAGGATGATATAATCATTATCAATCTAAGATTGAAGAAATCGACCCAGCGGTTCTAACGTATCCACGTACGTCTCGCAAGGGACGTGATTTTGAAGTCACAAAGAACAACATTAAACAAACTATGATAGATATATGTTGTATTTGCAAGGAATAAATAAACTTCCCTTGTCACATCTCGTGTCTCATTCGATTTATGTTGAAACTCCTATTATGCATGATGCGTAGAGTTGCAAACTCAAATGCAACACGCAAATATAGAGTTATGTTGCGTATGAATCTCAAATTCTATACTTGTTAATCTATTTTTCTCTAATGAAAATACAACTCGTTTCCGTTTAAAATATTGAATATCTTTCCATGATGAGCTTCTGACAATTAATGTGGATTAGATTCAAAATTAGGCAGATGGAAGGTAGCCCACGTACGAGAGAATCATTTGTCTTAAAATGTAGATACAAAAAACACCCATATCTCAGACCTTAGATGTGTACCTATTTTAATTTCCATGTTCCACTAGTATAGCTGGCCATCTTATTGCATGGTGTTTATATTAAATAAAATAAATTCACACGGTTTATTATTGTCTTATTCAATTTTCTTACAAATTTTCTAATTCAGGGTTTGGATCACCTACTTCTAAATCCATATTAAATTTTTTTTATTTTTTTTTGGATTTCTGCAGTAAGTATATATATTAGCTGATAACATATATGTTTTATATCTTTTATATATAATTAGTACTATACATTTTTTTATATATTTATTTAACTAGCGATTATAATTATTTTTTTAGAGCAAATAAATATATTAAAACCAACTACTTTGATCATATGTAATTAGACATCTTTAAAGGCTCCGATCCATGTTTAATTTTGTAATATTATTACATCGGAGCTAAATCAAGCGTTAGTAGACGATTAATTCGACAATTTCCTTGAATGAGACATCAAACTATTCCACCCACATTTTTCCTACTTACATGACTCAAGTCGATTTATTGGTGAATAAATGGGTTTGCTACTTTGCTTTACAAACCTAATTGAAACATAGTTCAAAATATTCAGCGACTTTGAGTTTATAGAATATGAAAGTGATATAGATATACAATTTTGCATATTTGAAATTGCGGAATATTAATGTAACATAATGACACTTTGCAAGTTTTATGATAAAGTTAATTAGTTTTGAAATAATGTGAGATTTGTTTTATACTGTAAGTGATAAGTCCGGTTTCATAGTAACTTCCAACTATTAATCTAACATTGGTTATATCGTTTTTACTTTATAAAGTATAATATTAATTATCCTACTTAAGCCTCATCATATTGTTCCCTTTTGAATTTCCTTTTTCAGAAATCTCTTTCTTATTTCCACTTTTATCTTTTCTAATACTTAGGGCCTGTTTGAAAGGCCACAATGGAATTGGGAATTGGTGTAATTGGTGTAATTACTCTCTTTGTCCTGTTTGGTAGACCAAGTAATTACTTGGTAAGAGGGGAATTGAGTGTAATTGAAGGGGAGTAATTACACTCCTCAATTCCCAAGGGAGAGTAAGGAATTGAGTGTAATTACACCATGTAATTACATGAATTTTTTAATATTATATTTTTTTAATATATTTTTGTTTGGAAAAGACACTTCTTCCTTTTTTGTCTGCACATTTCCATTTCTAAGAACGGCAGCACAGCAACAAGCCATGTACTTCTTCTTTCAAGTAAGATTTATTTCTTGATTCATTTTACTTTCATATTTTAATGTCTAGGTAGATTATGTATGAATTTTATTTTTGTATTTTCTCCTGTTAGTTTTGAGATTAAAATAAATATGAGAATTAATTTTTTTTTCTTTAATTTCTGATAATAATAATAATAATAATAATAATAATAATTAAAAAATCGATTCTAACAATCAGTTATACATAGTAATATTATTTATTCAAAATCTGATCTATTTTAAAATTTAACTGTGTAATTACATTCGTCCAACCAAACAGGACAAAGGGAATTACACTGTAATTACACTGTGACAACCAAACAGATCAATGTAATTACTAGACTGTGTAATTACTAGGCTAGTAATTACTACCCTAGTAATTACACCAATTCCAATTACCAGGTGGCTTTCCAAACAGACCCTTAATGTTTTGTATATCTAATATCTCTTGGTTCTTTTTAAAGTAATTGACAATTTATTTATTTTTATTTTAGTAATTGACAAACTATAGTATCCGATTCTGAGTGTTTTGAGATTTCCATTTGCTAAAGAGAAAAGAAAAGAAAAGAAGAATAGGTAATTAGTTTGTTGCCTAGAAAGGAATAAGAAACGTAGAGAGAAATGTAGTATAATTAACTTGTTGTATTTTGACAAGATAATATATGAACTTTGATCAATATTTTTAAATATATATTTTCATTATATTAATATGAGAAGAATTGCAACTTATAGTATTCTTTTCTATAGTTTTGAATATCCAAATTTAAAATTTAAAATATTGAATTAATATAATTTAATTTAGTTTTATAAATTAGTCAAATTAACTAACATGACAAGTAAAAGTGAACAGTATCAACAAACCTATACTCTCTATCCATGTCATTTATCGTGATTTTTAAAAATAATTATCTCAAATTATTTTTCATTTTAAAAAATCAAGATAAAGTTAATTGTTTTTCCTATTCCAGCTACTTGTAGTAGTAAATGTTATTGAAAATTACAAATACCTCAATTATTGACATAGTGAGTTTA